AGAACCGGCCCGCCGACCCCCCCCCCACGAATCCCCCTCCACCCCACTATGATTGACCCTAGTTGCCCTTCAGATGTGACCTTTGCCCTTCGACTTAGTAAATAATTAAATCAAATAAATAGAGAGATATTTTTTTTCTCTCAGGTCACATGGTCTGTTCAGAGTTCGCTGTGTTCTCTGTGCAAATATACAAGACATAAAACTACAAAGGGAAAAAAAATACTACATACAAATATCTATATTAACAATACTACAGTATATGCCATACTTCACATTGTACATTGTACCAGTATATTGTGTTGTGTATTTTTTAACATACAGTATTTTGTGGTCACAGGTTACACCTGCGCTCTGCAGAAGGACATCCTCTACCAGGGACGGATGTTCGTCTCAGACCACTGGATCTGCTTCCACTCAAAGGTGTTTGGCAAGGACACAAAGGTAGGCAGCGACGGAGTCCACTGTGGCCCCTGAGCGTTCAACTCAGCGTGCATATTCCCCTGTCCAAGCTAGGCTATGCTAGGCTAGGCTAAGATCAGATAAATCGCAAATAGCCAAATTAAGCACAGATAAGCTAAGGCAGGGGTGTCAAACATAGGGCCCGTGGGCCAAAACTGGCCCACTTTGGTTTTTCAATCCGGCCTGCTTGGTGATTTTTGAATTTTTTTTTAAAAAAATACACAAACATTTGAAATTATATTTATTTATAAAATATATATTCAAGCTAACTTGCTATTATCATTTTCTACTACCAGACAGTTGATTCATTTAAACCCAATGAGCAAAATCAACACGCGAGTTATGAAACTAACCCTTAGAGCAGGTCAAACATACGGCCTGTGGGACAAAACTGGTTTTTCAATCCTGCTTGGTGATTTTTAAATTTTTTTTTTTTTAAAAATACACATACACTTGAAATTATATTTCACTAAAAATGAAGATTTGTCAACTAAGATAAACGACATGTCAATGACAAGTGATGCATAAAGGCTAAAAAGCTAAAATGCTATTGTCATTTTCTACACCACCTATTGGGGAAACATGGGTATTGCAGGAAAAAGTCAGAAGTTTAATGATAATATAAATAAATTATATAATTTGGAAAAGTTTGGCGGGCCGCATCTGGCCCCCGGGCCTTAGTTTGCCCATGCCTGGATTGGAGAGTCTGTGTGTGGCCTGTTCACCGACCACAGACTCAGAGTCTGTTGCAGGGAAACGACACGCTGCTAACGAGGAGCGTGAAGGAATGAGAGCGTTGTGTTTTATTTTCTGGAGTTCAGATGCTTCAGGAGGGAAGTGACAAAACCCCAGGAAACGTCGGCGCTGCCTGACGGCGTGGAGAGTCCACGACAACGGGTCGAGCTAACACGAGCTAACACGAGCCTCACGGGGTTATCAGACCTGATCATCACATGATGTTTTTTTCTTTTTCCCTCAGCTGTGTTATGACAGGGTGGTGTCACGTGATGCAGGGTGAAGGTGTCTGGTCCTGTGTGTGTGTGTGTGTGTGTGTGTGTGTGTGTGTGTGTGTGCAGCAGACCCCTATGAAGCCAAGTTCAGAGAAACGACGTGTTGAAGTGTTCAACAAAGACACGGCTTTGTTCAGCTCCACTTCCTGTGTTCACCTGTGCGTCACATTTGTCAACACTTCGGAGTTTAAGAATGTCCAAAATGTCCAGAATGTCCAGATGGGATGATGTTTAAAATGAAGTAAAAATATGAGGGTTAGTGTCAGCGCTCCGCCCCTCCCCCCTCCTATACATGTGTAGGGTCCATGTGGGTGGGGGGGGGCAGCGTAACAACAGCTGTAAGGTGACACCGCACACGCCGTCCAGATGATTGTCAGCGATCAACATCTGACCAATCAGCAGTCAGAGGCTGCTGGTATCCAAGCCGTGGTCCGACTCTGTAAAAAGGCCAAATGATCTGGTTATAGTGCAGTGAGTTCATGAAGTTATCGCTGACTTTTCAGCCATTTGTTTCAGAGAGATTTTCTTTCAGTTTAAAATAACTTTAATTTTTATTTTATTCAGTAATTTATTTAGATTTTTTTTATTGCTGAAGTTGTTGGTGTTTTATTTTTATTTAATATTTTTCTGCTTTTTATTTGGTAATTAAAACACTGTTAAATGAACGGCTTTTAGTTGTAAACAGTAAAACATAGCAGTGAAAATGGATTTAAACAAGATTTTAATGGAAAAAAAAATTAATGCTGTTTTTATTTATTTTTTTTACATCAGGAACTGGTTTCCAAGTAGGAATTATGAGCTGAGGAATATTCAAACAAAACACTGAGAAGTAACAGGTTACATATGCAGGTAATTAACTTTTTTTTTTTACCACACAACAACTTATTAATTCGTTTGGAAATAATAAAAAAAACCCGCTGATTTCAGAGCGTGAAACCACGGCCCGGTGTCGTTTCCAATTGAAGTTTTAAATTCCAAACATATCTGTGGTTTTTTTTTTATGACACTGAGATAAGACTTTATTGTTGCAGCCAAGTACGATGTAGTTACCCCGCCACGATAAAATCCAGAGGAGGAAGTCAATAAAGCAGAGTAAAAATAGAATCCAGCGGTAGCCGCAAATACTGTAGTAAAAGTCGGAGTACTGCAGTTTATTTACTTGGTGTTTTGGGCTCAGCTGAAAAACATAACGAAGATTTGTCTTTAAAATAGAGTAAAGAAATTAAAAAAAAAAAAAAGACAAAATAAAGGCCACATGTAAAACAACAAAAAATGCTTTTACATTTAACATAAATTAAAATATTAAAGAAATAGAAATTTTTATTTTCTGCCAATCTTTGTGCCATTTTATGAACTCAACCAGATTTATGGACATTAACATTCATACTTTTACATTTCAGTAATTGTTTCTTTTTATTTTATTTCTTTTTTTTATTTTGACAGAAGTCACCAACTAGTTAACGTTACATTTTCACTTTTTAACTAAGTGGAAAAGTTGAAGTGAAAACTGTTGTTGGGAAACAGCAGAAGAACACGTGACGTCATGATAAAATAGGATACCATTACACAAATAACCCCACCTCCCCAACCCCCCCTTTCGTCTCAGTTTCTCTGAGAACACACATCAAAAACACTCTTTGTCCCTTGATATCCAACCCGCTCCTTCTCTGGGGCTAAAGATACGGTTCCCAGCTGAACCGTGTTCGTCTTTTAGATTTAAATTATATGTTAACACATGCTCCGCTGTCACCTGAGATGATGATGATGATGATGATGATGATGATGATGATGATGATGATGATGATGATGAAATGTTGGTTCCTGGAGTTGAAGAGTTCATGGACCGTCAGAGGACACGCCCACTTTTTTTTCTTACAGGTGAAAACGCCCGTTGACTTTGGGGGGCGTTCGATGTTTATTGTTTTTTCTTACACGTCTTTACAAACACTGAAAAATAATCCAGATGATGTTCGTGCCCGCGCTCTCAGGTGGCTCAGCCGTGAATGGTCTGAACACCTGACCGTGTGAAAGCAGAAACCAGCATCACTGGGACTTTTTCACCTGGTGAGAAAATCACATCGTCGTCTGCATAAAAAAAACAAAAACTTTTTTTTATTGAAATGAAGTTTTCTTGGCCTCGAGGAAGTGGTTTTTCAAAAACCAGTACAAACAGATAAAACAACATCACTCAAATGTGTTCGGCTAACGTCAAGGTCCAGGCCTGTGTCTCTCTCTCTCTCTCTCTGTCTCTCTCTCTCTCTCTCTCTTCACGCCACTCTCACGGTGAAAACTGAAGCAGAAGTTAAAGTTACGTCTGAGAATCACAGCAGTTCAGCTCAGGTGAAGTCGAGGCTCCAACAGATAAGAAACAGAACCTGGATCAGGGGCGTCTGTGGCGTCTGTGGCGCCTATGGCGTCTGTGATAAGCCCATTTTGAAGCACTCACCCGTCACGGGCCGTCACATCAGATACGCAGCGGTGAGGGTTGAGGCTCCGCCCACTCCAAAAACCAAGAGCAGGTTTTGACTTTGAGGTTTGAGTCGTGTTTACGTTACCAACAGATGTAGTGTGTGTGTGTCAACGCTGGACCAAACTACACAACAACAACAACAACAACAACATCAACAACAACAACAACAACA